TATATTATCGGAAAAAATAAATTAAAAACGAACAGAGATATCAAGGAAATTTTTCCCATATTTTAAAAATTATCTCAAATATCGAAAAACATATGAAAATTTTATATATATATAATATTATACACAGTATTATATATATTATAATATATATATTATGTCCAAACTCTCATACAAATCAAAGTTATATAAATCAAATAAAAAAAAAACATTTTATTTCGTTGCACCAATAAAATAAAAAAATATCCTTAATTTAATCATTTTATTGATAAATGCCATCCACTATTTAAAAACAACTTTTATTTTTTTACCAACACGAGGCATGACCAAAATTAATGATAACAAAAAATAAAATGAAAAAATACAGATAAAATTCACTTTCTTCAGAAACGCATTTACTCCAGTATGTCACTGCTACTAACAAGCCGGGATTTTTTTTCTTCTGCTGGCCGAAACTAGTCGAGTAATCTAACTGAAATAATAAAATAAATATATATTAATATATAATAAAAGTGCGTCTGAAAATTTCAAAATTTTAATATTTTTATTGTCAAAAATATATATATATATATATATATATATATATATATATATATATATATATAAAATATATATATATATATATATATTAATATTTATTAGAAAACAAAAAAATTCAATATCAGTGATATAACGCACGTAAATATAAAATTGAAACATTGAACACTTCAAAAAGATCATGTACGTTGTGTTTTTTTACTTTATTTTTTTACTTGTTTATTTATGTAGATTAATTTATTTTATTTGTTTTCGTTTAATTATTTCATTTCATTTATTTATTTTCATTTATTCTTCGTTTTCAATTTTCGCGTTTTATGCAGCGTAGTAAAGTTTTGTTTTGTCTGAATTTTGAGTTGAGTTCCGATCGTTTAATCAGTAGTTTATTTTGGTCTGGGACTATTTTTCCTCCATGCAGAGTTTACGGTTTTTGGATTGAATTAAAAAATGATGTTATCTTTTTTTTTTATTTTTTATGATATTATACATTTTGATTTGGTTTTTTTTTTAATATCCCAGATATATTTAGAAATCATTGAGTTGTTCTCTTATTTACTTTTTGTAAAGGATGATTTTTGTGCGTAGTTTCTTTGTTTCCAGAAAAATCAAATTCTATTTTTGAATTTTCATCCTATTTAATATTTTAAAAATTAATATTATTTTTAAAAATTAAAATCTTAGTAAAATACAGTTTTTCTACATATTTTTTAGTTGTCAAAATAAGGGACATTCCTTCTTTGTTAAAAAAAAATTTTTAGAATAGCTTTTTGTTTTTTTTGTTGACATTTATTAATTAAAATCAATTTTATATTGTATGGTAATTAATTTTTACATGTTTTCTGTTGAATATCTTGTGGAGAGTGCTTGACACGGGGGAGTGTTTGTGTATGTTTAATGAATGTTTCCTACATTTGTTTTAAGATTTTAAAAAAATAATAACCTGAATCACAATATTTTTTCTTCCTGTTGTTTTTTTTGTGATTGTTGTGTATTTTTACGGCTGTTAATATCATTTCTCAACGTCGTTGTATATGGTTTCGTTGGAAGAATTGTCAAAAACTCGGAGGTTAAATGAGTGTGCTATCTACTTGATTATTGATGGCGGGTGTTCAGAAGATGAGTGCATATACAGTTGTTTATCATTGTTTGTTTTTTTTGTTTGGTTTATAATTACTTAGGCTGAAGGTGATATTACAAAGAATTTTACAAATTTAGGTTATTTTTTGTTTGAGACGAAATTCATATTTTGAATAATATTTTATGATGCAATTTTTTAGTTTTGTCTTTGTTTTGTTCATTTAATATATATATATATATATATATATATATATATATATATATAAAAACTCTCATATATAACATATCGTAAAAAAAAAAATTAGATCGTTTCTTGATTTATATATCTATCTATTATTAAAATGAAAAAAAGATATCTTAGCAAACACATATTATATATATATATATATATATGTATATATATATATATATATATATATATATATATATATATATATATATAAATATTAGTTTTGTTTTGATGATCATTGAACAATTGAACGTCTAGTTCATCACATTTTTGAAAACCCAAAAAGTGCAAAAAATTTTCTGTCTGTGAATGACTATATATATATATATATATATATATATATATATATATATATATATATATATATATATATTTGAAAAAAAGTTAAACTCACATCTATCCAACCAAATAATAAATTAGCTCTATTTCTGATATTGAACGCTTAATAATTATTTATAGCATATATATATATATAAATATATTATATATATATATTTATTTATATTATATACAAGGAAAAACAAACACACACACACATATATATATATATATACAAATAACGTAATTAAAGAGATGCGACCAACCTTATATTTGAGCGATTACGTACACATGCAGATGAGCAAATAACTATATATTTAATCAATGGTGTAGATAAAACCGCGCTCAGCGAAGTTAAACAGTGCTATAAAGTATATATTATTAATTACAAATATACCTACGTTTGCTGTAGAGTCAGACTTTCATGGCATTCCGTATCATCTTGTAAAAAAGTTACTACCAGTTCAATACGGTTGCTTTTTTTTTATTTTTGTATCTCAGGGGGCGGCGCTATATTGTATGTGGATTCAAGATTATGATAAAAATAAGTTAATCTTGGAGTATAAATTCAAAATATAGACTATTGATTGGCAGATATCGAAAAATAAACGTTATAATACTTATTATTAGTTAGTTTAATAGGGATATTGATTGCTTAATGTGTATTGAGTCAACGGATAAGATTAATGCAATATGAACTAAATAAGTTGGTAATTACCAAATAAAAAGCGTGGGTAGGAAAAATTAATATGGGGTAAAGAAAATAAAAAAAAATAATACATCGAATTAAAAAAAAAACAGAAATTCAGTTGTCTGTTTTGATTAGACTTACTCTTATGACAATCGTCATTTCATGTTGAATTAAATATAGTCTAATGCTAATTATGTTTTATGAATGTGTCCTGAAGATGGTCTACTAGACCGAAACGTCCAACGTTGACATTATATTAACATTAAAACAGCATAATTGCATATTAGGATTTTTGTTTGTTTTTTTCCGTATATTTTTCGTCATACTGTATATCTATATCCATATATATATATATATATATATATATATATATATATATATATATATATATATATATATATATATATATATATACTTTTCTAGGAGCAGCAGATAATTATTCAAACATATATTATTAACAATAAGAGACAATGTATATCTATTATGTCTGATCATGAGCCGTCCTAATGTTCATATATTTGCTTGAATAAAGAAATACATTGACCAACGTTTGGATATGTTTTATTAAGTTGTTTCTTGATCTACATGAACCTTCTTCAAAGTGGTTATGCGGATATTTTAAAAAAAGCTATTCATCTTCGAAGATAATATTTTGTTATGGTGACAAAATTGCCGTGCAACGATAACGGTCGCGGAATAGCAGACGCAGTTCGTAAGTTCAAGATACGGTTTAATGACGTCATGCCATGCAGGAGGTCAAAATATTAACAACAGAACCATATGTCTAGGAATGGAGACTATGAAAATATAAAAATTAATACTGAGGTCAACACCCACTGGCGACAGTCAGTTTCATGCTTGAACGCAATGTTTCGGCTGGTGAAACAATCTGTCTTCACACGTTGTTGACTTCACTTTTATTTCCTATTTGTTTATATATATATCTATATATATATATATATATATATATGCATATACATACATATATATAAGTATATAAGTATATACATATATATATACGTTTTAAAAACTTGATAGTTTTTAATAATATATATATATATATAATATATGTAGTATATACATATATATATATATATATTTACGTTGTTGACTTCAGTTTTAATTCATATATATATGTATATGGTATATATAAATACATATACATATATATATATATATATATATATATATATATATATATATATATATATATATATATATATATATATATATATATATATATATATATATATATATATATATATATATATATAGTTATGAATATATGTATGTGTGTTTAGAGAGAGAGAGGAGAAATAAAAGAGAGGTAGATGAGACAGTGAAAAAGTAAATAGGTTCTCCATTAATTTTCCGCTTCTGTTTCTGACGATCATGAAAGACATTTTTTTTTACTTCACTTTTATTCAATTTCCTGCTTTACGGCTCCATTTTGTGACAGCCATCCCTGAACGAATGCAATGAAATTGAAAGAGATGTTTTATTTTCTTTTTCCCCCTTTCTGCTTTCCATATTAGTCTTATTCTCCGGTAATATTAGTAAATAGTGATCAACCTCACAGGATCGTTTACATGAGATCACGTTGTATTTATTTATGATCAATAACAACTACACTCTTCTTTATTTTTATTTCTTTATTTTTATTTCTTTCTTTTGTTGTGAGGCTGGTGGGGGGGCTACTTATTCTTATTTTATTTGAAGAAAACCTATCAAATGAAAATCACGGATCTTGCTTTTATCATATCAGAACTTTTACATAGGAATTGCCCATTGGTTCAATTCCGGAATTTCTCAATCCCAACATGAAACCAATATTCTCCATCAACTGAGTTGATGAAATAATCGTCATAATTATAAATATACTTAAATATGAACTCTGTGATGCTTTGACGCACGATTTATAATGGGTTAGACACTTTCATTCATAAAGCATTAATGAAGGGTCTTCTAGTTTAGAACATTTCATAGAATCCAGACATAAAGAGATCTATTTCAATATCTATCTATCGTTTCAACATATATCTATCACAATCTAAATATCTTTCTATTCATTTTCTATTATCTATTATAGTAAATCTATCTTTCTAATCTTAATGGTTCATCTATCTATATTTATTTAGTCATATCTTTAGAATGGACTATCTATTTATGTATCTATCTATGTAAGTGTATACATGATCTATATAATCTATCTATCTATCCATCTCTACTGTCCATATCCATATATAAATGACATTTTATCTATTTTAAATCTGTGTTTAGTTCATATTATTTATAACGATGAGTTATATATATATATATATATATATAAATAAAATCTGGACATCTATCTATAATATCAATTCATCTATCTAAAATCTTAAAATCATCTATGGATTATATTGAATCTATCATTCAAGAACAGGGTGTGGTTATAAAATGAATCTATAAAATCTCTCATCCATCTATAAAATCTATCTATGAATTTCATTGAAATTCATCTATCTATCATCTATCTATCTAAATTCTCTATCTATCTATCTATCTATATAGAATCTATCTATCATCTATCTATCTTTCAATATTTTCTATCTATCTATCTATCTATCTATCTATTATCTATCTATTTTCTTTCATATCTAATATTCATCTATCTATCTATCTATTTTATCTATCTATCTATCTATCTATCTATCTATCATCAATCTATCTATCTATCTTTCTATCTATCCATATCTATTTAATCATTCATTCTATCTACAGAAATATCTATCTATCTATCTTTATCAGACTTTCATCTATTCTATCTATAAATCTCTATCTATCATATATCTATTATTTATCTATCTCTTTCTATCTATCTGTTCTATCTATCTATCTATTTATATATATATATATTTATCTTTATATCTATCTATATATCTATCTTATCTATTCTATATTGTATCTATCTTCTATCTATCTATCTATCTATCTATCTCTATATCTAGTCTTTATATATTCTATATATCTATCTATCTATCTATCTATCTATCTCAGACATTCACAAATCTATATATCTATCTTTCATATCTTTCTATCTAATTTCATTTCATCTATTTTTATCTATCTATCATAAAATTTTTCATTAAAATCTCCTATCTATCTATCTATCTATCTATCTATCTATCTATTCTAATTCTATTCTAAATTATTTTTTCTATCTATATCATATCTATCTATCTATCTATCTATTATATATCTATCTACATCTTTGATATATCTATCTATTTATCTATCTATCTATCTATCTATTTAAATCTATATACCATTTGTCTGTTCATATCTATCTATCTATCTATCTATATATCTATCTATCTATCTATCTATTTCTATCTATCTATCTATCTATCTATCTATCTATCTATCTATCTATTCATATCTATCTATCTATCTATCTATACATCTATCATATCTATCATCTCATATTGAATTTGGAAATCTAAATATCTATGTTTATCTATCTATCTATATATCTAAAATCTATCTATCTATCTATCTATCTATCTATCTATATCTATATATATCTATCTTTTCCATATCATATCTATCTATCTATCTAAATACTATATCCATCTATTAATAGTCTAAATATAAAAAAAAATATCTATCTAAACTATCTATCTATCTATCTATTGGATCTAATCTATCTATATCCAAATCTAAAATTATCACATCTATCTTTCCTATCTATCTATCTATCTATCTATCTATCTATCTATCTAAAAATCAATTATCATTATAAACATATCTATCTATCTATCTATCTTCTATCTATCTTCAAAAATATATCTATATAAAATTTCATATCTTTTTTTGAAAAAATATCATCATATCTATCATATCTATCTATCTATCTATCTATCTATCTATCTGTCCTCTAACATCTGTTCATAAAATATCATCTATTATCTATCTATCTATCTATAATATCTATCAATATCTATCTATTAAAATCAATTATAAAATCTATAAACATCTATTTATATCTCTATCATTAAAATCTATTATAAATATCTGTTCATCCATCTGATCTATTTATCTATCTAACATCTATCTATATTTATAAATATCCATATATATATATATATATATATCTATATATATATCTATCTATCTATCTATCCATAAGTTCTAACATCATTTATTTTCCATATCTCCATCCAATTTCTATCTATCTATCTATTTTAATCTATATGGTCTATGATTAATATTTTTTTAATGTTTTTCTACCCAAAAATCTAAAATCATCTTTGTGTAAATTCATCTAGATATCTAATTATCTATCATATTTATTTCGTTCATGTATTTTTTATCTAGGAAAAGGATCTAGTTCTTTCTTTTTTAGAATTATAAAATCAATTTATGATCAATTCTAGGTTCTAAACACAAATGTAATCTATCTACTAAATATATTTGAAATTTATCTATTTCTATCTATAATATAATATATTATATCTATCTATTTACATCTATCTGCATATTCTATATTTTTCTCTATTTCTACATCTAATTATATTATCTTGAAAATATTCACATCTATCTATATTATCATATCTTTATCTATCTTCTATCTATATTTTTCTTTTATTATCAAAGATTTTTCTTTCTTTCT